CTGAAACTGTTGTCTATATACAATCATATGAAAGTAAAATTTACTGAAAATTCATGATTCTAAAATTTAAGATCATGTCCACTTGATCATGGAATTGGCGTCTAGTAGTTGACGATATTTTACATGTTCTGCTTTCCTTTAGAATTAATACCTCAACCCAACGGGTGGGTTGATAGGATTCGAACAGAATTTATATGGCTTCCTAAGGCTAAACAATGAAATCGTTCTCAGTCGAGAGTTTTGCCCCCGGAGTAGTTTATTACAATCCTTATCATTTTTTTTCAGTAGTTTGCCATCATAAAACCATCGTTAGCAAGCCGTATTATCCGTTACTCACTATGTACACAGATACACACCCACTATGCACACACACTACTACACACGTACACCCACCATGCAAACACACACACAGACACTGACACACACACACACACACACAAGCATGCACGCACACACACACACAGACACTGACACACACACACACACAAGCATGCACGCACACACACACGCATGCACACGCACACACGCACAGACACACACGCACACACACACACTACACACTCACAGCGACACACACTACACACTCACAGCGACACACACACGCACGCACGCACGCACGCACGCNGAGAGAGAGAGAGATGACAACAAGGTGAATTCGTGAGAGCGAGAGAGAGAGACAGAGAGCGAGAGAGAGAGATAGAGAGACAGAGAGCGATAGAGAGAGATAGAGAGACAGAGAGCGAGAGAGAGAGTGATGATGGTAACGGTGGCATGAATTCGTGGTGGAAAACATTTCGGCACTTTAATGATTATGTATTCGTCGTGTCAGATACATTACAATTATGTACTTTATACTTTATGTTATGTTATATTACGTTACACAGTAATATTGCTTAAGGTTAGGGTTAGGGATTTTGTTGGGGGTTATGGTTTTTCTCAGGGTTAGGGATATTATTAGGGCTAGGGTTACGGTTAGGTATATACGTATACGGTTATACGTATTCCGGTGAGTTGATCGATCAGAACGTTCCTTCAATGCCGAACGTCGTTAATAAAGACTTTATTGGTAATAATTCAAAAATCAATTTCTCAAACCGATGTCATCAATTTTATAATTATAATTTCGATGATAACACGACGATGGACTCAACCGAGATGATTTAACGAGCATCAACTCGTGTTCAGCAATACGAATGAACAAACATGCAAATATCCGCGGATGCGCGAAGTAATTAGAGTAAACACGGCAAGAAGAAGACGAAATGCATGAGCGAAAACACGGAACATGAAATCACGCGACGCAATCAAACTAGATGTGACTATACTTTTTAAATAGCAACCCCAGCATCCCCCCCAGCATCCCCTCCTCCCCAGCATCCCCTCCTCCCCAGCATCCCCTCATCCCCAGCATCCCTCCCACCCCAGCATCCCCTCATCCGCAGCATCCCCTCATCCGCAGCATCCCCTCATCCGCAGCATCCCCTCATCCCCAGCATCCCCAGCATCCCNCGCGCACGCACGCACGCACGCACGCACACACACGCACACACACGCACACACACGCGCACACACTCACCGACATTAGCGTTCATGAGCTGCAGTATAAGGGGCCGTCTCGTCACGATGCCGGATCCTCTCGGTAAGAAATCCCTGCGAAAGCGAGAGAGAGAGAGAGAGACAACACACAATTAGCTCGACCCAAATGTTTTGAGCATGACACAATTAATTGCTTCACTTTGTTGTTTGACATGCCCACAAAATCAAAATTGCCGACGGCCCTTTTTGTGTTTTGAAAATGGCCCATTCATTTTCAATATGGCCCGTTATTTTGGAAAGTAAGGGGGGACATAATCCCATTACTTCAATTTTCTTCCATATCACTGCAAAACACTCGAAAACAACTCCGAACTCGCAGTTGCCATAACAACGCTAACCGGTGACCACCACCACAGGAATTCTTTGTTCGACACGCCTTCCCTCTAAGCCAGTTCCGCCGAGTTTTCCCACATATTTTTTTCTCTCCATATTCTGACCTTGAATACGATCTATTCCCGGCCCGGCGGTCAAAAAATGTAACATAATAAATAATTAACATGAGTTTTTTCTCTCCCAATCGTTTTAACTGTGCCCGTGTTACATGACATGTGTACGCACACAACATCCCCCCCCACCCCACCCCCACCCCCACCATCGTTTTAACTGTGCCCGTGTTACATGACATGTGTACGCACACAACCATCCCCCCCACCCCACCCCTGACTACACTGAAAGAATCACTACATATTGAACCCCTCATAAAAAAACCACTAACCCTTTGCGCCCTTCTTGTACCTTATGCTTATTATCTCTTCTTATCATTTCTCCTCTTAAAGGCCATAAGTCAATACATCATACATCAGGAGAGCCGATGGATGCATCACCGATTGACTTGTCATCGCTATCGCTGCCGGCTGTCTCGTATAATTTAACATTTCATGTTTGCTGTATAAGCAACTTACTTGCATCGTATATGATCAAATTAATATTGAATTCGTTATCCACATATATATCGGAAGGACACGTTGACACACTAATCATATAATCGCTTACATCTATAAATAAAATATTCGTATCTGTTGGGGAAGGAAGGAGGGGGGCCTGGGAGGGGGGGGGGGGGGGGGGGGGG